CACACGAGCACCTAGAGCAGCAGCGTCGCAAGCACCTAGGGCAGCAGCCTCACCAGGACCTAGAGCAGCAGTCTCAATGCCCGGATCGGGCGGGAAACACCGGTAACAGTCACCCTCATCACTAATAGACACAGCATACATGGCAGAGAGAATAGCATCAAAGTCAAGATCATAGATGGCAACACCCGCCCTAGACAGCTCGCCCCAGCGAGGGATCTCGGAGGCCTCCGGGAACTGGTGACGCCACGCGTCCGTCAGGCGGCCAAAGCAGTTCTGGGTGGGGTGGGCACCCCCACACTGCTCACCCGCACGGTCGCCAGTGCGCAAAACGTAGGAGCACGGACCAAAACCCCCACCCCGCTGACGCGCAGTGTACCACTCACGAAGCTGCTGAGGGGACAGGGTGTCACGACCACGCTGCTGCTGCTGGCGCGAGCCACCACCGGAGCCACTCCTCTGCGAAGACCCGCGACCAGCACCACCGCCACCCCCGCCGCCTCCGACGCCTCCGCCGCCTCCGCTACTGCCGCCGCCTCCGCCTCCGCCGCCGCCTCCACCTCCGCCACCTCCGCCACCTCCGCTCCCACCGCCACCGCCGCCGCCACCTCCACCTCCACTGCCGCCACCGACCCCTCCACCTCCACCTCCACTCCCACCGCCACCCCCACTCCCCCAACTGCCGCCACCTCCACCTCCACCGCCCCCGCTCGCTCCTCCAGCGCCCTTGCCCCCCTTGCCCTTGCCAGAGCGGCGTCTCCCGCTAGGGGCAGACGCCGCTCCGACCGACTCAAGACCAAGGAGGTCGGCCGCAGCAGCAGAGGCAACAGAGGGCAGAAGGGGGGAGGGGGAACACCCCTCAAAGATGGGGGTGCGCGGGTCACCACGAGAGGCCCCTACAGCGACTATGCTCTTCTCGGCCGCTAGGAGGGACTTCTCGAGGAGGTCAACAGTGAGAGTGGTGGGACAGACAGAGAGAAAGTGGTCCCTGACTACGCGAAGGGAGTCAGGAAGGCGAGTGACTATGTAGTAAAGAGTGATGTACATGGGGGGGGGGTTCTTGGCGCAGAAGTCAGGAGGGAGTGCAGCGCGGTAGCGAGTGTCACTTGTGCGGAGGTGCGTAATGAGGTCAGCGACTGTGGGAAAGGCAGCAAGGTCAGGAAAGAGGTACGGTAGCATGAGACGGCTCAGTGCAGCAGTGGCAGGGGAGGAGTAGCGCGCAACTACAGCGTCGTACAAGGTCTGAGCACTCTTGTACTGACTAAAGTGCGCACGCTCGGAGGTAGGGAGGTGGCGACGCACAGCAAGACATGCAGCAGCGTCGCGCGTGGCCCACTGGCCCGACCCTCAGCGTCAAAGGCGAGAACACTAGGGGTAGTCATGACCCTAGACGACTAGCAGCGCAAACAGTAGGGTGAGGACAGTGCAGTGAAAAGGCGCTGTGCTCACCAGACTGGGCAGGTCGGGCGGCCCGGAAGGAGGGCGGCGCGGCGGCTCGGCGGCTCAGCTGCTGGGCGGCTCGGCGGCTCGGCGGCTCCGCTGCTGGGCGGCTCGGCTGCTGGGCGGCTCGGCTGCTGGGCGGCGCGTCTGCTGGGCGGCTCGGCTGCTGGGCGGCTCGGCTGCTGGGCGGCGCGTCTGCTGGGCGGCTCGGCTGCTGGGCGGCTCGGCTGCTGGGCGGCTCGGCTGCTGGGCGGCTCGGCGGCTCGGCGGCTCGGCTGGTCGGCTGCTGGGCTGCTGGGCGGCTCGGTTGTCCGGCTGCTCGGTCGCTGGGCGGCTCGGCTGTGCTGTTGCAGGGCGGCGCGGCTGGGCAGCAGGTGACGGGGCCGCAGGTAAGGGCGGCGGGGCCGCTGGTAAGGGCGGCGTGGCCGCGGGTAGGGTGGCGGGGCCGCAGATAGGGTGGCGGGGCTGTAGGTAAGGCGGGGGGGGCCGCGGGTAGGGTGGCAGGGCCGCGGGTAGGGTGGCGGGGCCGCAGGTAAGGTGGCGGGGCCGCAGCAGAGGGCGGCGGGGCCGCAGGTAAGGTGGCGGGGCCGCGGGTAGGGTGGCGGGGCCGCAGGTAAGGTGGCGGGGCCGCAGGTAAGGTGGCGGGGCCGCAGCAGAGGGCGGCGGGGCCGCAGGTAAGGGCGGCGTGCCCGCTGGAAGGTGGCAGGGCCGCAGGTGAGGGCGGCACGAGGGGCCGCGGAGGTCGGCAGCGTGCCGTAAGGGTGGCACGCGACGCCGCGAAGGGCGGCGACGAGCCGTTACGGGCGGCGCAAGGGCGGCGACGGGCCGCTTAGGGTGGCGACGGGCCGCGAAGGGCGGCGACGGGCCGAGTAAGGGCGGCGCAAGGGAGGCCGAGAGGGGCGACGCGACAGTAGAGAGGGCACACGAGGCGCGACTCGGGCCTAAACTAAGCGCGCTCCGGGCAGGAAAAAAAAAATTTTCGACTTGGTGGGCCCTAGGAACAGTTCCCACGAGGGAACCTGCTCGATACCATGAAAAGGAACGAGGATGAATGGACTATGAATGAAGTGGGTACAAGTACTAACCCTAATTGGGTTGTACCCCCTATGGGATACCCCACTACAGCCTACACAAAAGTGTAAGCTATGATGTTCTGACAGGTAATTACCCTGATTTCAGGGTGATTACAGGCTTCTCAATTGCTGGGCCCTGCAATTTCAGTTTTTTTAACTTGTGAACTCTGATCCAATCAGAAAAGTTACTTAACGAACCCTGAAATCTTATAACTAGACTCAGAGTAGTGTACTTGCGGACTATGTCTATGCAGAGTATGCGTTCGGTGGACCCTGAATGCGAGGGTATCGGGACGAAGGTTCCTCGAAGTTTCCTTTCGATAACCCCCCCCCTGTGCGTAATCATTACTTCGCGTGGCCCCATGTGAGGTACCCCGTTCACGCGCTGGACTGACGTAATAACGACACCGAATTCCAACACCGTGCTGTAAAGACAGCTGTCAACAGTGACAACGCACCCAAATCTATGATACGTTGCTGCCACGCGCACCTCGCAGTGCACAGCATGCCTCTGCCATTCGCCAGAACGGCATGTTGACAGTATGCGCTGGCAGCTAAGCAGTCCTTGAATGAATTTGGCCTTGCATCTACGGCCGAATTCATTGACGAATGTTGCCATCAACCTTGTGGCATCGCGCCGCGGTGGTTTCGTGATGACCCCGCCATCTCCAATCTTCCTTTCCTTCCCCCTACCCAGAGCCAGGCTTCCTTTGCTTCCTGCTTTTCGTTCAGTATCACACTTTCCTCTCGCTCCATCTTTCCCCTAGCTCGCCGCCATGGAGGCGTTGCCGGGCCGACGAAGATGCTCCTCAGACTGGCCCTGACGAGCCACCTTTACCGGCAAAACCGACAGCGCAAGCCTTGCCGGAGAAAGCATTAGATGATCCCCGGTCTGGGCTCGATTTTCTTAGAGCTACCGGTGCTCCGGTGACACCAGAACCTCCTAGGTCTACGGTTCATGACTCTGCTGCTAGAGTAACCCTTACTCCTTCTGATTCTCCACATCCTGTCGCCTTCACTCTACCCCCGGCTGTTGCTTCTTGCAGCAAAGATCCCCCACCGCCATCGCCTAGCCCCACTCCAAGCACGGTGCGTGTGTCTGTTGGCCCGCCGTCGGCTTCTTCCACTCCCAAGCGAGCGCGAAATGGGAAGTGGGCGCAGAGTACTCTGGTCGTCGGAGGCCGCCGTATTCCACCGCCTGACAATGACAAGTCGGCAGATCCTCCACCGAAAGAAGCTGAGCAACCGGAGGAAGTTGACATCCCTGTGCGCGCGGATACCGGCTCGCCCGCACTCACCAAGATGCAGCTGCGAGAGCAGGTGTACCTTGAGGCGAGTATTAACTACGAGACGAAGTGGTCGCAACACTTTTCATGGCTGGTGTTTGGGAAGACCAAGGACGGTTTTCCATACGTGAAGTGCTCCATCTGCATGTCGTACGCGAAGGGGAACACGAGGTACGCCATGCAAGGTGACGACGGTGGCCGTGACTTGCAGACGCAGTCGTTCAGGGCGCACGAGCATACGGACGCACACAAGGCGGCGGTGGATTGCTTGCGGCGGGCATCCGCGAGGGCCAGCAGGCGATTTTTGACTTCATCAACTCCGACGTCGAGGGGCGGTGCGCGATTCGTCTCATGCGGTCTACGCAGTTCCTGTGCCAGTGCGACGCGCCGATTAGCATGTTTCCGAAGCTGATGCGGCATCTTGCGGAGCAGGACACGCCAGACATTCCTCGACAATCTTACGGCGTGTATCTCACACGGTATTTAATCTTACCGTTAGATTGCAGCTGGACATATGTGACGTGTGGTTTTTTTATTACGATCCTGACCATTTTATTCTCCTCTGTGCAGATACGGGTTCCAACAAATGGTTCACAGCATCAGTACATACCTCACTCGGGTCCAGATGGACCACATCCTGGCATCCCCCTTCCTGGGCATTCAGTGCGACGAGAGCACAGACCGAACACGAGGGAAACACATGATTGTGTCAGAATATTATGTTTCTCTAGTCTGCAGTGGGGTACTCTATAGTGAGTACAACCCTTTTAGGGTTTGCTATATGTATCCCAATGTTTGCTAGTGAACGCCTCACTTCCGCTCCACTCTTCTCTCATTCATCCCTGTTGTTCCTTTCACAGATTGTGTACCTTACGTTTTTTAAGAATCGCCAAATCGCATGCGAGTTCTTTACATTGCTGACGGTTGAGCGGTGTGATGCAGGGTCTCTGTTTGAGGTGCTTCTGAACCATCTCCGCTCCGCAGCCGTCCATGTGTCCAAGATCGTCGGCATCAGCACGGATGGGGCGTCGGTCATGACCGGGAAAGAAAACGGATTGGTGGCGCGTCTTCGGGAACACGTTCCGCACCTGTTTTCATGCCACTGCATCGCCCACCGGTGTGTATCAAGTTTCCTAGTTGGTGTGGTTTTCTACGTATAAGATTAACCAATTACCTCTTGATTTGTATTTCCTGCATCCTACAGTGAGGCGTTGGCTGTGAAGGACGCCGCTGAGTCAAACGAGGACCTTGGCATGGTCGACAAGGTGGTGCGCACAGTGGCGACGCTTCTCGGAAACTCAAGCGTGTGGAGTCAGCGCTTCAAGTACCTTCAGCGAGTGATCTACCAGACAAACCTCACGGTTCGATGGCTGTCACGAGGTGATGCGGTGCGCAGGCTGTGCAAGGTCCTCGGCGCTTGCATCGTGCTGCTCTGGGAGCACAACCACAAGGCCTACGAGATTGTGACGTGCTACAAGTTCCAGTTCTGTTTGTTTTTCCTGGCCGACATTCTGGCCGACATGAACGACCTCAACCGCTGCTTCCAGAGGCGTGAGGTGAGATTGAATGCTAGTATAATGTTGAGATGGGAAGTGTAATCCTACACTTTTGCTAATCCTACTCCCTGTTGTTGATTGCATGTGTGACAGCTGGATGTGACTGAGATTTCGAAGACTATTGAGTCCACCACGGGTGACCTGACGGAGCGCTACTTGACGACAAACAAACCGTTCGGGGGCGAGGGGAAGAGCTGGCTGGTAAACTTCCTCAAGGTCCACAAGGAGGGTGGAGGCAAGCAGGTCCGGGTTCGAGGCGTGGACGGAGAGGGACGCCCAATCAACCACCTCTACACCATGCATGAGAGGAAGCTGAAGGGCCACAAGCAGGGAAGCACCTACGCAGACTGCGTGAAGCTGTGCCGCCAATTTGCCCGCGACTGCATGGACAACCGGAACGAACGGCTGGATGACCTTGGGAAGCTGGGCCCGACGAAGCTGTTCCAGGCGGGGAAGTGGCCGAAGATCAAGGCCCAGCGAGAGAAGAAGTGCAAGGAGTGGCTGCACGGATGCAGCAGGCTCTTCCACCACAAGCTGCCAGGATTCGACCTCAAAGCAGCAGAGAGGGAGCTCCCGACATTCTGCGCGATCATGGAGTCACACCATGAGATGGAGAGCTTCGCCCAAGGCCTTAACAACTTTCTTGGGAGCGTAGACTCAAAGAGGTAGGCCACTGCATGCGTACGAGTTTTTTACCTATTTGATTTTTATGTTGGTGATTATTAACATGTTGAATTCCAACTTGTTGATTTATTAACTTGTTGATACTTTTACATGTTTTGTTGTGTTTCGAATGCGCCTGGCAGGAGATGGCCCAACCTCATCCTGTTGTGGCAGGCGCTGGCTGTGCTTCCCCTCTCCACCGTGGAGTGCGAGAGGGGGTTCTCCAGGCAGAACATCATCAAGTCCTGGATGCGTGGAGCGCTCTGCAACGCGCGTCTGGGGGAGCTGATGCAGATATCGCTCCTGAAGTACGAGATCGAATGGCCGGAGGCACTGGAGGTGTGGAGGTCCATGCGGAGGAGGCGCCCTGTGAAGAGCCTGAAGCTGGCCGTGGCAGAGAGGGAGAGGAAGGGGAAGCAGAAGGAGGGTGAAGCTGTGGCTGCTGGAACTGCGGGGGAGAACGAGGACGAGGGGGAGGAGGAGGAGGAGGACGATGAAGTGGAACAGGACTTGGGCGACGATCAAGAGGTCGTGGAAGAGGAGGACAACCCTTTCTTGTCAGACGATGAGGACGTAGAGGAGGTGTACTTCATAGACAAACCCGTGCACTAGATAGTGTAGGAAAGTTGAAGTTGTTGTATCAGTCATTTTGAAGTGTAGTGCAATGTTAATAGCAACCCTGATTTTGAGCTGTAAACCCTGACGGATCAGACTAGGACTTTGTTCGACACTGAGCTATCAGGGTAGCTTCCCTGTGAAAAATGTGCGATCATAATAGAGGGGGAAATTTTTTCCGGGAATCAGGGAGGCCTAAAACGAAACGTCAGCCCTGGTCGAAACACCAAGTCAGAAGTGAAGCGAAACATATCGAAGCATTAGCGAGTCAACCCTCGGAGGTTGAACAACTGCTGGAGGTTATGCTAAAGTCAAAGGTCAGCGACTTTTGACCTGACAAATACAGCGCGACAGCAAGGACAAACAACTGACTCGCTATTGAGCAGTTGCCCGAGTCGTCACTGTATCGAACCGCAACAGCAACAGCAAAACGGTTATTAACTGTATCTCTTCGTATTCCTTGTACTCTTATAAAAGCTTATATCCCTTTGTTTTAATCAATCTACTTTGCCCTCACATACTAGCGCAAGGTGGTTCACAAAGTTCTTATTTAATGCTTCCGCTATTACATTGTCCTACTCAGAATTTAGTCCTGCAAAGATCCTAAGGACTTTTCTCAGCCCAACAGCTAGCCTACTCACTATATTAGCGTGTACCTTCATTGTATGATCAGTCTGTAAAATCACCTTCTCGTTATTCGTTAACCTGCGCACTCTCTTTTACAACTCATAACAACCTTGTGACCCAACCTCACGATTCGGTTGGTAACCCGCGCTCCGGTCCTCCGCCTCGACATTTCCCAACCTCGGCGCTAGGCCCGTCGCGCACCACATTCTCGCGCATGACCGTTACCACACTAGGCTTTCGCTATATATTGTTCGCTCATTCCTTCGCTCATTGTACTCTTGCTTAGATAGTTCAATTCTAGCTAGCTCACTCGATTGCACCCGTAACAGTGTGAAAAAGGTTACCGAAACACCTGAAAACCTAAGCATTATTGAGCTGCATGCTAGTTCCCACAATTACAGACTCCACCTCCTCCCATTCCCAGCATAGCCTTCCCATATCTCGCATCCCATTGCCTGCGAGCTTCGTCAGTCTGTCACCCGAACGGCCATGACAGTGCTCACATGCCGCCACGTGGAGCGGATGCTAGCGTTGCTGCCTGAAACCAGATTAGGAGCCGAAACCCTAGAAGCACTCGCTTCAGAATCACTCGCGCTCCAGGCTATCTCTGACCGACACGTGTTCCTTGGCGAATAGTCAGCAACGAGCAACTTCCCGCTCGTGTCGACCTCGTCGGGGTCGTCCGTCGTCGAGCGTCGCATAAGCGATGTCGCACGGCGACGAGCGATTAACAAAACCGACGCGCGCGCCGCGACTGTGTCCTAGGGGCACGGGTGCACGGGACGGGGGAAGAAGCATGCAGAGATGGAACACAGGGGAAGGGGCAGCGGATGAAGCACAAACATGGGCCCACAACATGCACTACCTTGCCCAAACCAGCAGCCCTGCAGCAAAAGCACTGCTACCTGAAGGACTGCTGTCGAGAGAACTGCTGTTGCTGCCTCCTGTCTTGCTACACCCTGCGTGCACGGCACCCATGCTCCCCGGTAAGAGCAGCAGCAGGCAGGTCGCACTTGGATATCGCGTCAGTCCACATGCTGTCGGCAAACCCTGGCTTTATTTTGCGGTAAAGTTGGTACTGGGAGGATGCGAGGGAATAAGTGGGAGCGGCAAGAGGGTGGGAAGTGATCAGTAGTGAGAGACGCAATGAGTGTGAGAGGCGAGAGGCAACGCGTGCGAGAAGAAATATGTACAATTTGCCAACAAGTGCAGACGGAAGGGCGGAGGGGAGGGTTGAGTGGAAACGGGGAGAAGAGTTTAATGAGAGCGTGGAAACAGCAGGAGAGAACGGGGTAAGGGAGTGAAGGAAACGGGGGGATATGGCAAAGGGTAAACGAGCATGTCACCCATTCCACACATGCGTCACATGCCACAAGTGCAACACATCCCATCCATGCGCCCACTCATCCACCCACCCATCCACCCACCCACCCACTCACCCACCCTTGTCGAGTTGAGCTGCCGCGGCAGGGAGCAGCATGTTGAGTTGAGCCGCCGCGGCAGAGAGCAGCATGTTGAGTTGAGCCGCCGCGGCAGAGAGCAGCGTGTTGAACACCACTCGCCCCTAATCGCTGCCGCCGCTGCCGCTCATCAAGGGGGAAAACAGTGGAACCCATCAGCACTGGAATGAACGGGTGGACGAAAACAAGTGGGTCAGGCAGGCAATCTGTGTTAGACCCATGTGGTTGTTCGATGAAGATTTCAGCATCGACAGGGGCGTAGAGGAAGGCGTTGGCAACGTCGATCTGTCGAAGTTTCTTCCGGTTCATGGCGGCAATCGCGAGGAGAATCCGCAATGAGGTATGTCGGCTAACTGGAGTGAATGTTTCGGTGAAGCCTCGTCCATGCTCTTGATCGAAGCCGCGCACGACCCAGCGTGCCTTGAATTTGTCTATCGTTCCGTCAGCTTTCGTTTTCACGCGGAAAACCCATTTTCCCGTGAGAATGGTCTTGTTGCGTGCCACTCCGATAGGCACGACTTTCTAGGTGTTGCGTTCTTGCAGCGCCTTTAATTCTTTGTCCATGGCTTCGCGCCATTTTTCCCTATGTTCCCCCCCCAGAGCCTGCTGAAAAGTGGCAGGCTCTTTAGGTGGTGCCGCTCCGTGGACTGCGGTGACGAGTCCCAGTATCTGTAGTCCACTGTGTGTAGCGGGGGAGGTTTGTATCCTCGGGATAAGCTGCTTCGTCTCCCGCTTCTGGATCAGGTAAAACGTTGGGCCCTATGCGTTCGGAGACGTCGATGTCGACCGGTTGGGGTGTAACGTAACCGTTGTCAGCGAAGTCATAGTAGACTTCGGCGTTGACACTTTCGCGAGGGTTGTCGTCATCCATCGATATGGGCACAGAGCAGTATGGAAGTGGTCCTGCTTCCTCGGATGCGCCGTCCACATTTTGATCGTCCCAATCAGCTTTGCCTGCTGCCAAAGCGAAGGCTTGATTGCCACGGAAGCTGCCCGTGAGGTCTCGATCTGCTGCCAGGTTGTCCAGGTACGTTTGAAGTGTAAGTCGCTCGTAGAAGATGACATCACGTGCTGCTGTTAGAAAGAAGAAACAAGAATGACTGAACTATGACTGAGTTGGGTACAAGTACTAACCCTAATTGGGTTGTACCCCTTATGGGCCACCCCACTATAGCCTACACAATGCAAGCTATATATAAGTTTGACACACCCCCATAGGCAAAGTCGGGGATAACAAGTGGTCACAAGACCAGTCAAGAAAAGCAAAACAAGCTCAAGGAGGATCACAAAGTCACCACACAGTCTGAGCACAAGCAAAGGGCCACACGGCTAGTTCACATGCAGAGTTATATAAAAGAGAACAAACAATACAGTTATCATACCCTAGCAAGTGCAAGCATGCAGGTATATATATAGATCACAGTACAAGCAAATTCACGCAGTAAGCAAGTGAGGCAAAGTAGGCACAAGGCCTAACACAGTAGAGAAGCGCTAATGATCACCAGGCGGAAGTGCCTTGGTGAATATATCAGCAGTGTTGGCCCTAGTGGCCACGTACGCAAGACGAAGCTGGCCACGCTGCTGCGACGCTCGAGCAAGGAAGTATCGCAGAGCGATGTGCTTCGTTCTGTGCTCCAGTCTGTGCTCCTGACACAAGGCAATCATGGCCTTGTTTTCTACGTACAAAACTGGATGCGAACGAGGCTGCTCTCCCAAGTCAGTCACCAGGTAGGTGAGCCAGCGTAGCTCCTATGCAGCCATGGCCCCGGCGTAGATCTCAGCCTCACAACTGGAGATGAGAACCGAAGACGAGCGGGTAGACCGCCACGACAAGGTCGTCGACGTACACGAGGACGTAGAACGGCGGCAGCGAGGTGTCGGTGCGTAGAAATAGCGACGGGTCAACAGTAGAAGGAGCAAACCCAAGAGCCGCAAGTGTAGTCCTTAGTGTGTCGTGCCACTCGCGAGGCGCCTGGCGGAGATCGTAGACTGGCCGCCGGAGGCTCCACTGAGTACGTGCAGGAAACGACCCAGTGAAGCCAGATGGGTGGCGCAACCAGATCTCCTCGTGCAGGCTGCCCTGCAGGAAAGCTATGCTGAAGTCCAGAGAGTGCAGCTCGCAGTCACGCTGAGCAGCGACGTGCAGCAATACCTGAAGAGGAGTCATCTTCGGGGTGGGGGAGAAGGTCTGGTAGTAGTCAAACCCCGATCGCTGACTGAAACATCAAGAAACGTAATGTGCCTTGAAGGCAGGCGGAGAACCCGGCGGCCGCTTCACCCTGAAAATCCACATGCCATCGACTA